ACACACACACACACACACACACATACACACTGCAGACGAATGGTTGAAGTTGGGCCATCATGCTTACTTTCCAGAACGCCGTCCTTTCTTACCCCCATTCTATGCATTCCTTGATGGCAGACCAAGCTACTTCACCTGCGATGCTCTCCCCAGTCCTGCTCTGGCCGCAGGGTGGGCCCTCCATGCAGAGCACCTCCCACTCTTGGGTTCCAGGGTGGAGAACCTAGTCTCTCTACCACATTTTAAGGGGCTTAAGGAATTTTCTGCCTCCCCAGGCACTAGCATAATACTTTATGTATTACAAGGGCTTGGTATTTGTTAAATGAATGCCTAAAAGCTGGTGGATAAGCATATAGCCCTTGGCACCACGCAAATACCCACAGCACAGAGGAGGCTAAGACCTGGAGAAGTGGCTCCAGGTGAGGCCAGGCTCTCTAAGTGTTGTTTTGATGGTCCTGGTACAGGGTGAGGTTAGTACAGGTGTCCTTCTTTCCTCCGTATTTAAGAAACTGGAAACACGTGCCATGGTGTTGGGCCTCCCGCACTTGGAGTGCTCTGAGCATCTCTGAAGGAGAAGGACCACACTCAGGTGTATGGGCCTGGATACGCATCACACACACAACGGCTTAGGATATCAGACTATGAAAGCCAAGGTAACAGAGTGGGCCTGCGGGCTGGGACTCACTTTCTCCAAGGTACCCTGGGTTTGGAGTGCTTAGATACCAAGCAGAAGAACAGTGCTGTTTTCTTCCCCAGGAAACACAAAATACTGAATTGAATACGTACTTTAAAAAAGAGGAAAAATTCATTTAGAAATGACCTATTTCATTCCTGTGAAAGGATTTTTAAATGTGTTCTAGGACTTGGCCCTGTAGCTATTCATTTCTTATTCTAAAGTGATTTTAATGTTTTAATTTATGACAGTCACATGTACAGTGACCTACAGGTTGGCCCCTCTCCCCTCGGCCCCAGTGAGCCTGAATTTCCTACTGAAGCTGCCAAGGGTGCTTATAACCGAGCGCTGTGTTGCTTTCTAAGGTAGACTCCTCATCAAAGGACAGGACCGAGCAGAAACAATACAATATCCACATTATCTAGGGAGGGAAACATTATTTTCCTAAGATGGCGATGGCTAGAGGAAGAAGCTGGATCCAATTTTATCCACACCTCATACCTCAAGTCAGCTAACTTCAAAGAAAATTCCAAACACAAAACAAAACAAAAGACCCCCCCACCCCATTTCTCTTCGGTTCTAATTTCGGAGTAGAATCTACATGAAGGACTCTGAGCCCAGGGGATGGTTTGGCTGGCCCTCTATTTTAACAGAGGGCTCTGGGGACAATTTGGACAACGTGGTTTGCTCTTCAATATCACAGCGTGTATCTCTGTAAATGAAACCACATGGACAACTTGATGTGATTAGAAAAAAAAAAAAAAAAGGCAGGGGGCTGCCAACTGCCCTAATCGGAACAGATGTACCTGATCAGAATACCAGTGCGCACGAGATGGGAGAGACACCCAAGAAGCTCATGGCGAATTATAGTGAGGCTCTGGATGGCTCCCATTTCAATTCCAACTCTCCAATGGTTTTTTTAAAATTAAAGAGAGAGATTCTAATGAAGGAACGGCCTAATGGTTGCAAAGCTGTGACAAGGCTGATGGGGCAAGTTGACATCAAATACTCCATTCAGTACCCCAGAGCCTTCAAAAATTCCTCCCCTCGATCAGTCTGCTGCTAGAGGTGTGCGCTGTCATGCGAAGGTCAGGAGACCTGCTCCATGCACCTGAGACGGGAGAAAGAGCTCCCCGGCTCCTCCCACCAGGCAGGTGTAGTATTCGTGATGGCAATATCACCTCGGACTGGGCTCATGATTTCTCCCCTCTGAGGATCTTTAACCTGCTTTTAAGGGAGCTGGGCGACTGAGGACTCGATGATGGTCTGCCTCTCTAACAAGGAAAACAATTCGATTACCCTGGTTATGGAAGATAAAAGATAGCGCTGGAGCACTTCCTTTCCGAGGAATCAGAAATCAACTATGGCCTTTCAAGTTTCAAAATATTTTTCTCTCACATTTGTACATTTTCTTGTAATGAAACTCTGACCTGGGGAATGGGTTTCAGTTATTGCATCTGAGTGGGAGAAAAGAAATGGAGGACTGTGGGCTGCTTCTTTTTCTTTTCTTTTTTTTTTTTTCTTTCTTTCTTTCTTAAGCTCAGGCTTTATGTTACTGTCACTGGATTTAGCTGTTGCAGCTTTTAAGGCTAACGGGTGGCTGTTATGTAGCGAACAGGGCAAGAGAGGAGAGTGAAAATTAATTTAGCTATCCATTTGTCAAGATCCAGTCTGGAAGATTTTTTAGGAACCAGTCTAAATCTCAGGGATAGCCTGGACCTTTAAAATGGGACACAGGCTCATTCAGCTCCATAACCTTTAATCTGTTTGAAGTAAGGAGCAAATGTTAAAATCCACGACTGTACTTCCTAGGCAAGATAAACACACGGAAGCTGCTTGTTAAGACCCAGCAAGCCTAGAAGATCATGTCCGTTAAGGCAGCAGAGCCTACGATGTGTTTCAGGGGCAGTTTTGCTCTAACTACTCTTGGGGGTGGCAGGGAGAATCTGGGTGTTCACGGCCACAGATGCCCTCTGTGTGTGGCCAGGGTTTAAGTGCTGGTGCCGAAAGGCTACCGTGTATCTGGGAGCTCATGGGGCACCCCCTGGAGCCTCGAGGTCGGGAGCAGAGAGACAGAAGCCAAGACAAACCCCTGTTTAAAGGCACCTTTGATGTGGATGGGAATACAGGACTGTTTGCTCTGAAGATTTCCTCTTACACGGAGTCTCTCTGCTTGGAACGGTGATAACAGCGACTTGTAGCTGTTTGAGGACACAAGAGAAGCTTTCGGTGGGGGTGAAGGCTGAAGGCTGGGAGCAGAGGCACCTCCGCTGTGTTGCACAGAGTGAGGGGGTTGGAGTTCAGGGGGTGCTAGCAAAGGTCTTAAAAACAAAACAAAACAAAACAAAAACCAGCCTGAGTTAGCGAGAGGCCAGACACAGATGAAAAGTGTTTTTCCGTGTTATGGAGAAATGGGGCATTTCTACAGAGTGAGAGAGGCCTCCACTGCCTTAAAATATAGACCTGCCTAGCCACAGTCACCTAGAGGGAACCCTCTAGAATGAGAGGTAGTTAAGGGCTGGCTCATCCCTGGGCCCCGTCTGCAAAGATGAACCGACTACTGCAAAAGGGCAGTGGGGGATGGAGGTGTAATTCACACGGACGTCCAAAGGGCCATTCACAGGAAATTTCATGAAAACCTACTATTGAGAGCTCCAGCCTAATTCAGTTTACAAGCTGGATAAGCGGCAAGAAATCACGAAAGGTAAAAACCTAGCTCCCGATGTGGACAGTGGAGAGGGTGGCTGACCTGGAATCAGGAAGGAGGGAGCATCTTCGCTGTGCTCAGCAATGAGGCGGAAAGTGGGAGGAGTCTGCGTGCTACGCTAACAAGCTTTTGCTTAAGCAGCAGAAGGAAGAGCAAAACGGAAACACGAAATACGCACAGACGAGGATTTCGGAAGCAGCCTGGATGGAGCAGAGTTTAGAGTGAGGCACAATAACCAATTGATGGGTTTTCGGAAGATTTTAAGTGCAGGCACTGATGGTTGCATAAACAGCGGACAGAAAATCCTCACTAGTGGCTTTCTCTAACGTTCTCTTTGTCCCACTGTGATGGGTTAGGAAGAAAACAGACTAGGGGATCTACCATCTTCTTTCATAGACGTCCTCTTCCATAGAACACTCTGGATTTTCGTCATGCTTGTCCCACCAACTCCTGTGAAGACCAAGAGCGTCTCCAGAAAGTCAGTGTAAAGGACAGCTGCCGTATCTAGGGTGGTAAAGAGGGTCTACACACAAAGAATGATGAATTATAGATTCAGTGTTTTAACAGAAATCCTGCATCCTGGGGCGTGGAGCTCAGAGAGATCTTGCAGTCTCCTGGGATAACAGAATGAACCAGGGAAGTTCTCTTTTAAAGAAAAAAAATTTTTCCCCCTCATAGAATAATCACTTTTACACATTCTGGGGCTGGAACCCACACACAGTGGTGGGGGAAGATCTTATGTCAGGAAATCCCGCATGTCTAATCGACATAGTGCAACTATAGGCTTTCCCACTGTAGCAGACAGCAGAGCTCCGAGGCTCCCCAGCAAGCAACGTCAAGTGGTATGAGAGCCACGGAGTACCAGCAAGGGGATGGATGGCATCCCTCCTCCCTCAGTGATACAAGTCAGAGACCATGAAACTCGTTTTGAAGAAGAGTTTCAGACAGTCCAGAAAAGGATAAAGCCACAGAGGCTGTGGCTGCCTCTTCCATACCTCCAGTATTTAACTGAGGGTAGCAGGCCAGGGTGGGGGGGTGGGGCTGGGGGATGGGTACATGAGCGCCCAGCACGGAGAGGACAGTGACTCTCTCTGACCTCGAGACCCCGACAACACACACAGGTTCTAACACTGTCAGTGGGTCCTCTCTGGGGCAGTTAGAAGGGTGATGTATTTCGAAACATGGCCCCCCTGGGCCCGTTAAAGGGTGTGTCTTTTCTTCCATATGAATTAAGATGGAATTAAGACAACGAGAAGATCCAAAGGCAGAATACTTACCATTTCATCAACCGTGGCTAAGCCTAAGCTACCGGCACGTTCTTGCACAGCCAGGTGGCCATTTTCCCTAGCAATCTGCTTTGAACAGTGATGCTTAAAAGAGAACTCTCTTAAGCGTAAGTTGCAAAATATCTGATCTACTGTTAAATGCCTGGATGTTAAAAGATTTTCGGAGGTCCTTAAGATTCAGCTTAAGAACAAAGTATCTCATGTCTCTGAAGTTCCAAAATAAAGGACCCATTACATTCCAAGGATTTCAAGGGACCGTTCCGGCTTCTTTGCATACACACGAGAAAGACAATATACATTCAGGACATTTTCAGTGGTCATGAAGGTACCGTACCTGTGATGATGGTAAGGATGGTGGTGGTGGTGGTGGTGGTGGTGGTGGTGGTTGTTGTGGGAGGAGGGATAGTTGTGGGGGGATCTGGATAAAAAAAAAAAGGAAAATCAAACCCACAATGCTGAACACAACAATGACCAGTAATGACAAAACAAAGGCATGAGGACACTGAGATGTCTGTTTGATGATGTCCCCCTCCGAAACCAAGAGCTTCCCTGCCCCACCCATACCGAAGATCTGTATCCTGTAATTGGAACCCCAAACCTTACTTGGAAAAAGCTAAGAAAAGAAGAAAAAAGATTTGTATTAATGATGCGAAGTAGGGATGAGGCGATGTGAAGGAGAGAAGGGAGGGAAAATCGAAATAGGACACCCCCGCCCCAATCTGATTTCAAAGGGGAGGGTAAACCAGCCCCGCACCCGAGAGTCATTTCATTTCATGCTTCTGAGGATGGGAGAAAGGAGGAGGAGAGGACGCTGCTCCAGCGAAAGGGCTGCAATCGGCCAAGGACGAGTGTGCTCTTGGTCCCCTGCTCTCCATGACGGGTAACTTCATTATTCCCCATCAATACATCCCAGCGGGAAGTGAAACTACTTCTACGCTCGTAATAAATACAAAGAAGAGAGAATGTCACCACTAAATATCAAGTCCCAGGCATGTGAGATTTTCCTGAGATTTTGTTTTTTTTTTTAAAGTCAATAAATTTTACAACTTATAAATATTAATGTGTTAGTTGCCTTTGCTCATGTTAAAAGCTTGACCTGAGTGGACGGCGGTGATAAGACTGAAAGCCCGCCTTCCTTCTTGTAAACAAGAGGATGAGATATAAACGGGGCTTGACCCTCCAAGCCAGGAATCCCAGAGGGAACCCTCCGTCAGAAGTTTGATATATTGTATATTCTTCTATCATCTCAGAAATTATTTGGGGGACAAGGGAAGGGCAAATATGAAAGAGAAAAAAAGAAAATCCCGAGCCCAAATGATCAAACTGAATGTGTTAAATTGTCAGCGAGACTTTGAACTAAGCAATCATTCTGGTATAAGAGAGCGTAAGACGATTTGAAGGCTTTTGATTTTAAATTTTATCTAAAGCACGTCAACTTTTTCTCCCTGACACATCTGGTGTCCTTTTATCTCCAAGTGAGCTCTCAGATTGTCTAATTAATACATCAAAACTTTAATTATATGCTGCACCTTTATTGGCTTTGGTACAACTTCCTGAAAGTTGACGAAAACACTATTTTGGTGCCTGGTTGTAAGGTCTGCTTGAGATGATTCCTACTATCGATCACTAATCTGAGGTTTTAATTTTCCTAACCAACCTCTCTCACACATACACAGTATATGACTGTGATGGGCAAAGACCAGCAGCAAATGGTTCTGTCTTGTGGGAGACTGTGCTTGTTTAAGTTGGGGACGCGAGTGGTTTAAAGCAGCCTCACACTGGAGTTCAAAAAGGAATTCAAACAAAAACAACAAAAATTAAAAAAAAACCCCACAAAACCCAAACCCACCCCCCAAGATCAAACACACACACACACACACACATCTCACTGTCCACCAAGATGCAGAAATGATTAAGTAATTTCAAACCACCTTTTCAGTTGAACAGGCACCTTTTGTTCAGTCTTGCTTCCCTGGCCTTGTTCTCATGGAGGCCCCAGGTGAGGAAGCATTCTGGGACCCAGTAGACCATGTGGCTGCTCCCACACCTTGCCGCGGGCACCAGGACAGACACAGCAGAGCAAGGGGCATGGGCCCCCGAGCCAAGGTCTGAAGGCATCCCGTGCCGTCTCCTACCCAACTCAGCTGTACCCAGAGAGGCTCCTGCTGCCCAGCATGTGAGCAGCTAATGTGGTTTCTCTGTTCTGGTTCAATTACAATGTTTATCACTGGAAAGGGAACATCTGTGCCTGGGAGACTTCCCCCTGGTACACTCTAATGCTATTTCTGAACCCATCTCTCAGAGTATTGGCACAAAATGTGTGATATCCACAATATAATCAAAGGGGAATGGAAGGTCCATTTTTGAAATATGATTTGAAAACACGATTATGAACAAGGGGTGGACCAGACTAACAAGGGCAGAGACTTCAGAAAAAAGGTCACCGGTCCCTTTCGTTTTGTGAAAATCACACACTTTCAATTATTTTCATCACTACTGGGGTAACTGTTTTCCTTCACATCTGGCTCAAGTGACCTGAATGAATTAGATTCTGTTAACAGGTATAACCTCGTTGCTCAGATCATTTCCGGCAATAAGAGCAATGTGAGGCCACTATTTAAGAAAATACAGAGTTGGTGCTAATGAGCGGTGTTTGACACATAGAGGCTCAAAGAACAAAACCAATTGGGGCTCAGGCACTAACCAGCTAGATTCTCCAAGTATAGGAGTTATTTCCAGAGAATTAAACATTTTAAAGGCACGTTAGTGCTTGGTTCATAAAGTACTTTGTACATTACTGTAGTAGTAGTACAATAAACCACCTCTTAAAAGAAAATCTACTCGCCATCTTGTCTCCAACTGCTAGAATATTTTATTAACAGACAAGCAACACCTCAGGTTGGCCTTGTAGCCGCCATTCCAGGCAGCGCTACTGGCATAGCTTAAGGGAGGTGGGTAGGCTCCTAAAGATCTAACAGATCCCTGGACGAGGGTAAGTATGCCAAGCTGGGTTAGGGAGATGTGTGTGTGTGCGGGCGCTTGCGTGCGCGCTCACGCGGTCGCGTGCGCGCATGCGCTTATCAGAACAGGTAGGTCGCTATGTTTCTCGGCTTTCAATAATGCACTCTGGCCCGGCGAGTTAAGTCCAAACATCTCATGTTGGAGGGAACTGTTCTGGCGGGAAGCAGTGAGAATCAGAGGCCCTACAAAGGAAGACTCCAATGTCCCTGTAGACTTGGCAGTCAGGAGTGTCGTGGCTCGGAGACACAGTAAGCCTGAGACCTTGAGCAGCTTAGGTGACATTCCTAAGCTTCCTCTCTCATCTGTACCATGGGATGAGGATAATGCATACGTCCTGGGGTTCCTGGGGAGATTCGAGGTGGTCATGCACATGCAACGGTGGGACACAGGGAGCGCTCAAAAAACGCTAGGCATAAGGTGGAGTCCCATGTTCCAAAGACATCTGTGTCCTTCAAAATCCACAAAATGTTTCTTGTCTGGAAAGGTGGCAACAGGAGGGATGATAAATCAGAGTTGTTTTTCCAGATAACTTAGTCTTCTGACTCACGGAAACATATCCTAGACTGGCGGGCATTTGCCACTGTGGACCTGGGGGGCGGCAATGCAGGGGGCTTGTGGGAGGCTCAAACCCTCATGTACAGACAGAGATCTACCTGCCAGCCTCCGGCATCAGCGGACCGTGAACAATCTGAGGCACAGGGTGGCCATGTCATATCAACTGAAAAGGGGGCCCAGGGCACCCCCTGGTATGGACGTGGGATCACTGTTCCCTTCGTGGGGATCTCCTCAACCACTAGGGAGAACTAATACTCTTAAATGTATAGAGCACAGACAACGTGGGTAGTGTATGCAGAAAACACATCTCAGATGTTTACAAATCAGGTGGGTAGATGTGATCTTGTAATTCTGCATTATGTTAAAAGGGGGAGAATAAAACCCCTAAAACCTCAGAATTAGATCATAGGGATTATATTTGAATATCCAAGTAGATAGGGGGTAAAGCATGCTTCTGCATCCTCAAAAAGACACTGACTCCTGTTTTCTTCAAAAGGAAAGGGGCCAGGTTCTAAGACATAACGGAGACAATATTTCCTACATATAGTTCTGTGTGTACGGGTGTACATGTGTACACAGTTATACTTGGATAATGTATTTACAGTGCTAACAGTAAGAAAGAAATGTGCACACATATCTGTATATTCATAAGACACCGAAATTTTCAGGCCTGTGGTTACTCATGCCATGTCATCTCAGTTCATGACTATGCTTCCTTTATAAACCTGACCTAGAGACTTTGGACAGAAGAGGCATAGTCTGCCATCCTAAGGCTAGAGCAGCAGTGCCCTCCTCAACTACAGAGAGAATATTCACCACACAAAATTGACATTAAGATATCAATGGGAAAAAGTCGGGTGCCTGGATGGCTCAGTGGGTTAAGCCCCTGCCTGCGGCTGAGGTCATGATCTCAGGGTCCTAGGATCGAGCCCCCGCATTGGGCTCTCTGCTTAGCAGGGAGCCTGCTCCCCCCCGCCCCGCTAACCCGCTCTGCCTGCCTCTCTGCCTACTTGTGCTCTCTTTCACTCTCTCTCTCTCTGTCAAATAAATGAATTTAAAAAGAAATGGGAAAAAGTCTAAGATGTCTGACACGTAGGAGATGCTCAAGAAACGTTTGCTGGTTAGAGAATGCAATTGATGATGCTATATGCTCTAGTAATCCTGTGAGAAGATATTAAGAAAACAGACAAATTTAAAAATAAATGTGTTCATGTCTAAAGGAAGAGCTACTGGTGGTTTATGTGGCTACCAAGGAGCCTGTATCATTTCTCCAAGTATTTACTGGCTTGCAACATCTTCGGGAAGGTAATAGCTTCATGCTGAAAACAGGATACTTCTGTTCATCAAAGCAGGAGACTAGCTCGGATATCACAGGAAAATACCACTGGGAATAAACTTTCTGAGCTAAATAGCCATTAATTGGTAAGGCTGAATTTTGCAGTCATTATTTCTAACACAGTCTCCACGGCTTGTGCCTGAGGACACAGCTTTCCTGCTCAGCATGACCAGGGACTGTGATCTAATGGGAAATCCCCACGATTAGAGGGAGAGACGGAAAGTCACTGCCCTCCCAGGTGGGGACAATGGGGTCCACCTCAGGCCAGGCTTCTTTAAGGTCTTGCAGAAAACAAATGGGCTTCTGGTTTTCAACTGGACCAAAATCTCTGGGAGGGAATCATAAGCAGCAACTACATGTAAATGAGTCTAGTAGAAGACGGGTTTAGCTTTCCACGTACCGTAAACATACAGCATATAATCCGAGTGAGCTTTCCCCACTATGTTAGAGGCTTCACAGCGGTATGTACCGTTATCTGTTTTGTTTAGGTTATTGATGAACAGGTTGGGCCCAGACAGGACGGCGTGCTGAGGCATCTCGTCATCGACTCTAACCCAGGTCACCATCACTGGCCTGCAGAGGAAAGAGGAGGGGCACAGGGTGCTTCGTTATCTCCCACCAAGACGTCTGCGTCAGCTTCCCACCCACGCATCACAGGAGTCCCATGTAGGGTGAAACGATTAAAGACCTGTAACAGAATTACAGCCGTGAAGTCCCCCCTGAGTCTGTCTGGAATAAACTTTTTCTAAAAAACATTATCAGGTATTGAAAAACTTTCAACGGACCATAAGCAGGAGTCTCATTATTTTCAATTCATCTTTAACAAATCAGCAAATAAAACAATGTACCCTATTTTTATGCCCTGCTGTGTGGTTTCACACCAAACAGGACAGAGCCCAGCCATCATTAATCATCTCATTAATTAGGGGGAAAAGAGCAAATTCTTGGCGAGTGATACACACATTACTCTGATGGTTACTGATACACCAAGACTCTTGCTTGGAAGCCACTTGGGATATTTAAAGGGATTTCAAGTTTCGCAAAAAGAAACAGACTTTTATATCTGAACGCTGCTTTCTTTTGAGCTCTGCTGTTGGAAAAAGTACCTCTGTTCATTCGGGGAAAGGCGCAATCCTTCGTTTCTCTTTGACCCCTACCCATAACCTGCCTCCCCCAGCCCAGTCCACCTTATCTATGGGTTCCTCTGTTAAATGCCTTGCTTTGCCGGCTCTCCCAGTCCCCCTCGCTGTCACACACTCTCCCTCTCCACGTGCACCTGCAGACCCTGTGACTCAAGGGCCAGGCTTCTGGGTCCGAGTTAGTCACTGAGGGGCACATCTCCACCTGGGCTCCTTCTGGCACTCAGAGGCCACGTTTGTTTCAGGGATTTAAAGCGCCACGTTTGTGTCCATTAGGGAAAAGCCAATTTCACAAGATGCTCTGGAGACCAAACCGCACACGCACCAAGTTATCTTTCAAACTCCTTGAATCTAACATGCGCGTTCTTTAAGGTGGCTCCCTCAACCTCCCGTGACATCGGGGCCACGTGGGCGCCTGTGCCTGAAGCTCTCATTTTGGAGGAAGGGCAGCAGAGACGCAGGCACAGACGTAACTTCTTGTCTGTCCCCAGAACCACCTCTAGGAGCGGCGACAGGACCGAAAGGCCCAGCGCTGAATGATGAGCGAACACCCGAGTTAGCCCTGTCGGGTAGCATTCCAACTTTCAAATGGGATGTGAAGTTACAATTTTTCTTTAATTACACAAGGGTTTGTCATCACAACCCAATAAATTATTTAAAAATTAGTCCTGCATATGTGCTGCTTGTAGGCAGCGGCAAATGTGTCTGCCCGGCATTCAGAGCGAACGTCCTGCTGCTTGACAGCGGAAACAGTCATTGGGGGTAAGTGCTGAGGATATTCACAACATTTAATGGCAAGTTAAATTACCATTTTTATTGTATGCAATTTCTTGAGAAAATAAATAGGTAATATGCTGGAAGGGATCGCAGTGGAGTAACGCGGGCTTGCTCACACAGCCGTCCACCCGTTCCAATCTGGGAGGAACAAACAAATACCTTCTCTGGCATAAATGTCCTGAAGGAAACGTGTCATTGACTGTCCCTGTGGCACATTCAACTGAACATACTACCTTCTCTGGGGGGAAAAAACCCCACAAAAACAAAATGTAGCTTAGCAAAGCCATATACTCTAAATGTGGTTAATACGGCTGAATATAGGTATGACAAGTGGTGAGAGGCCTGGGAACATTTATTTCTTTTCCTCCACTGGATTTTATTTTTTTTATTTTTTTTTGGAGGCAAGGTAAGTCACTAACCAGGGCGTAACCAGACAGTTTACGGAAAGAAAGATCTGCATCCTTGGCCGTGTTCAAAGGAGGGAGAGATTGCTCTGCCAAAGCTTGAAGCATTTCGAACCAAGTAACTTGGGCGCACCACAGAACCAAGACCACCTCCTACTTCCTAAAGGTCATCTTTAAAGCTCCACATGGTGAGGCCAGACAGAGCAGACTCTAGCCCGCAGTGAGGGAAGCCTGACACAGGGAGGGCCGAGGCACGGCAACCTGCCTCTGTCTAGCTCCCCGGTCTCTTGTCAGAGATCACGCCTTAGCTGTAACAGGGACAGTGCTCTCCAGAGATTTCCGGGAACCTTCCTTAAGATGCTCAGAGCATGAAAACTGTGATAGTCAGGCTGGTTAATAAAAACTCTGAGGGGGGAAAAAAAATCATACCACAGGGACAGCAGAGGGAGCTCAATGCTATTTTGTTTTGTTTTGTTTTGGTGGGGACCACTCAAAGTTGAGGGCTCAGAATCTCGACACTGACTTGGTCCCTCTTAGGGTTCTGCGGATTGTTTCCTTAAGAAACAGTTAAAAACAATCTTCACTCTCTTAGAAAGAGCTTCTCTCCTCTCCCCAGATGAAATGGGATGGAGGTCTAAAGCAGCGCCATCACTAAAGCAGTTTTTTTTGCTCTATTAGTGATAATATACAGCAGTTTCCCTAATTCACTTCCATTCATTCTGCAGGGAAGCAGCTTCTTTGTACTTTTCCATAAAATAAGAGTGTTATGTTCTTTCTCTTCTGCAGGGGCATACATAGGCTGCTTGAGAAAAGCTCTGGGACCATTCCTTACGAACAAACATATTTCTAGGAGTCACTTTCTTTTGAGGAAAGGAGAAGTAAAATTAAAGGTAGGGCAGATTCATTTTCCAACGGCTGGCCCTAATCACAGCGGCTTAATTTAAGTCTGAAAACCATCTTTCCCGGCAGCTTAGACATTGGCACAGAAGGTAGCAGATTTATCATTAGATTGTGGGCATACTAAAAATTTATTAGGATTATTTTTTTTCGTGAGAGAAGATAGTTCTGGCAATCATGTTGATGATAACAAAATAGAATTAGTCGAGATTTCCATCTTAGCTGGCATTGCATTTTTCTCCCAATCCTGGCCATTAAGAACCGACCATAGGTATTTATTCCCCCTTTTCAGTGAATATTCCTTATTTCTTGCAAAATCTTCCATCCTTTACAGCAGGAGACAGGTGACAGGCTGGTGACTTGCGAATGCACAGCTCCGTGTTGTGACATTTACTGCTCATGACCCTCTGCCAACCTTGGCCTTCGGAACTTACTGGGGCTTCCCGATGGCTTCACATGTTAACTCGAGCGCATCCCCTTCCCGGGTCAGGCCTTGGAGAGGGTAAGTCATCTGAATATGCACTTGAGGCTTATCTGTGTGACAACAACACAAAGTGTAATGTTTAGCAAATGACATCAGGCAAAAATCAGACTTGCACGCCGCCCCAAACCCCACACCACCAGCACTCGCGCTCTCCCCAACCTCATGCCTTCACTAACATCCTCCTAATTAGTTAGTAATCCTGGCATTTGCTCAAATTAAATTGACTAATAACTCCAAGGAGTGAACCGCGAGCAGATAAGAGATTCTTAAGCCAACTGCGTCACATCAAACACTTCCTGTGAAATACATTTTGTTACATGGAAGTTTATCTCCAAACTCACTCAAGCTAAAGGAAACTCATTTGCCTTCATGCTGAGGTGAAGCCAGACATTTGCGGTGCTCAGAATTGATACATTTTATCATATATCCTCTACGACTATGTGACAATACCTTGTGACAATGCATATTAATAAGTTTGCCTCTTCTATGCTCTTGATTTTGAATGGGAAAGGCAAAACTTCTGAACTCCACTCAAATGGCTTTGAGAGTAAAGAAATGGGAGCTTCTGGTGGTCCCAACGGAACTCTTTGACGTCTCAGTGTATACACACATGAGAAGGAAGGACGCAGACAGGCACCGAGGGCCTACTGTGCTAGGAGCCGTCATTGGTGGTAGAATAAGCCCAGTTTTAGGGATGAGAACACTAGTACCCAGTCCAGTAGCCAGTGGAATGAACTAGCCAGTCCAAGGTCATGGAGGTAACTTCATAGGAGGCAGGCCTGTGAATGCTGGGATTTCGGGTTCAAAACCACATTACCCAGTAGTAATCCATAATTAAAACCAAGTATGGCTTCTGAAGGCAGTCAAGTCCTTAACTAAGTGACATAGCTGTTCTTACATATACTGGCTACTTAAAACCTGTGTTTGGAGCTCGTCGGGGTTTGGGTCCAAAAGATGAATGACGGGAGGTGTGGGGCCTAGGGAGGGTACCAGAAGGGATCAGGATTAACTTAGAAACCAATATAAATACATTTACAAATAAAACCTGAATGGAATGGGGAGACTGTTTTTTTCTATGTTGAACTAACAAGCTATTAATCCCTAAATCAGTTTTCTCATTTAATGCGGTGGCTCTGTAAATGTGTATTTTTGGAAACGCACCCAAGAGTAATAAATGTGAGAGGGCAAGACATCACTTGGCTGAAAGGTCAAAACAATTTCCATAACTTTACTTTCTCAGACAATCACACCACCTAAACATCAGCCCCTTGGCCTTTTACAAGCAGTGCTTAGCTCATTAACATTCATCCTATGGACTGAGAGGGAAATCAGAACTATGGCAACACTCAACTGATCTCAAACCGTACGCGGCTAAAACAAGCTGCATGAGGGAGTCCTCTCTGGGGATGGCTGCTTTCCAGACATGTGGGTACAGTCTTGTTCCCATCACAGATCTTTCTGTCTTGGAAAACCACGTGGCATTCAAAACCTTTTAGGAGTGCCTTTTTGTACACCAGTGTGTACTGCACACTGTGAATGGGTAACCCTTTCTGAGACGCTAAGCCACTTGCCAGAGGACATAAACTAACAGGCCCGAAAGCTCCAGCTGACACTTGCAAAGCAAGCACGGTTCTGTTCTTAGACTTGCTGGCCAAGGGAATGTTCGAGAACAAAATGGTGTGGCGGTGGCCAGAGACTGGTAACTGGGTGGGGAAAGCAGTCCCTACAGAGAGGCAGAAACAGACAGGATAAACACGATGACCTTGAGTGGACTGGCTGGCTGAGAAGAAGGAAGAGCTGCTGGCCCCCCTCCTTGCAGGGCTCTGGTCTCAAAGCCTACACTACATACAACCGTTGGGTGACATATGTGAGTCTATTAGTTTTGCTGGTGTGACCCATAAACACAGAGCTGGCTGGTGAAGTCTACTACAAACACAAGATACGAATAAGTAAATAAGTAAGTAAAGCAAGCAACAGGAGAAGGTTATGTTACTAAGAACACCGACAGCCAAAGACCCCGGTCCCTTATATTTCACATTCAGAAAGACCAGCACTTAACAGGGTTCCTGGTCAGGAAACCTCTGTCATTCTTACCTAGGAACCATTCTGGGCAAGGCTAATTTAAAGCCCACAATCTGGGCTGAAATGGAACATTCGCTTCTAGGTTAATCTCTGATCCACGGAAGGACTACGTTTTCCATGCTCGGCTGACTTCTGCCCATTAATTAAGGAGAAGCAGGATGCCTGCTGGTCTATATGGAATTTTTGGTTTTTCTTCCCGCCTTGTGTAATTTACAAGCAAACAGAGAGGGTGTATTTTTCAGCACAGTGCACTAAGGGTTTTACGTGCTCCACTTCCATTAATAATAAAGAGACTGTTGAAAATCTAAGCCGGTCTTGCCTCTCTTCAGTACCACAGACTTCTAGTTAAACTCTTTTTTATGTTACTAATGGCTGTTTCCCAGTTGCCAATTACTCACAGAAATTAGGAAGAGCAAGCTAAGGATCTGTTGTACCTGAAACTTATATTAAAAAAAAAAAAAAAATCCTACTACGCCATAGAAAATGCACCTTCAATTTTGATAACAGATTTTCCCAATTTACTCCTCAGGCTCCTGGAGAGACCTCTAGCATCTACAGATGAGCAGAGCTGCTACAGCTACCTTAATAGCTGGCTGAAAAGGTAAACATTAATCTTGTTTGCATCATACAGAAAAATGTCCTCCTCTGACACACGCACCACTTACACGCATGTTATCTGACCGTGGGGCAGCTGAACTGACTTCACCCCCGCCTGTGAGCTGCACAGGTGGGTCTCTGTGCCAAGATCCAGCCCCTTCCCTTCCCCTGAAAGAGGAACTCAGGTATGCTCAACAGGTAGACCAGACAGCCTGGGATTCCACCGGCACCTCTCGAACTCAGGGAGGTTAAATTTCCCCAGGAAGATCCTGACTCGTATGCGAGTATGTCAAAATCCTGCACTACCCAGATGGCTAACTGAATAGCCCAAAGCTCATCATTTATATTTTAATTATGTTCATAAATCAAATGTTATAACCCACCAAAGCTTTTCTGAGACAGACCCAGACTCCAAGATTTATTTTTAAGTAATGAGGTAAGGCCCAGTACATTTTCTGGGTGATCATTTTACGCCTCGGTTGGTGTTGTAAGGCACAAGGCTACGAGCCAGATGACACTTTCTACCCAACTGCAGTAACTGCCCAGAAATGTATCGCTCAGAATGGCTTAATGTCATTAAAAAAATGGAACTGCTATATAAAAATAAGAAAAATAGGTCTGTGCACTTATGGAACATTACAGTTACAGAGATGGCATCACCAACAGCCAATCAATTAGGTCAAGGGATCTGAGGTTTTTATAATACACTGTCATTTTTTAAAAACCCTATAAAAGACATTTAGCAAGACTCTTAGAGCAGACAAAATTCGTTCATTAGTCAAAGCTGCACAGAGGGTTAAATGCCAGGAGGCTTTGGGTCACACCACAGGAGCAACCAATTAAAAAAATAATATTAGAAAGACATTCCAATTTGATGAGACTTTCTTTAAATGTACTTTGCTCTCTCTATAAAGGGAAAAATATATATATATAATAAAAGGAAACTCTTATGGAGGTTAGAACGGCTTGCTGGCAGATTACAATTGATTTCATGCCAGTCTGACCTTGCACCCCGTTCTGTGATCTTTCCAGAAGTTGAAGCTCGAGACTCTGTAGCCTGTATTCACTTTCCTATGTAAATGAAAAATCATCTCCTTCTCTCTAGATCACAACACTAACATAGCAGGTTTTTAAAATTATTTATTAAAAAAAATAAGTAAAATGGTATTTGGCACTTTCTTTTTGCCTGGGATGTCATCCTTCCCGTGTACCAGACAGGAGTAGAGTTGAGGCACTAGGAAGATACTTATATCCCAGCACGAGACTTATTACCCCAGGGGCTCCCAACAGCCTCCCCAGCCCAAGAATTTCTAAATTCTTAAAGATTATTTATTTATTTATTTGACACAGAGAGAGAGATCACAAGTAGGCAGAGAGAGAGAGAGAGGGAAAGCAGGCTCCCCGCTGAGCAGAGAGCCCAACGTGGGGCTCGATCCCAGGACACTGGGATCATGACCTGAGCTGAAGGCAGAGGCTTAACCCACTGAGCCACCCAGGTGCCCCAAGAATTTCTAAATTCTTATTTAGAATGTGGGCGTCCAATGTTCTCTGATGCACGAACTGTAACCAGGCCCAAGGTCCTGGGTGCAAATTCGCTTCTGTGACTGCATTCGGGACATGGGCTCTTCACGGCCCTTTCGTCCAATTTCCGAATATCTGTTGGAGCGGGACTGGATGCCAGTGGAGCAAATAGTAATGGTCTCAGGCATCTGCCAGGGAGAGGTCAAGGGCAGCAAGTGCCCACATGCATCAGAATGGCTGGGAGAAGTCTGGGTCAGTGCCTGCGCATTCGGGTGGGGAAGCATCAGCTGAAGAGTCTTTGTCAATCACGGGGGATTTCTGCAGTTTGGAGAAACACGACAATGCAAAGATTAACCTGAGATCTGGGGAGGATAAGGGGTTTTTTTGAGCTTGAGGCAAGAATCGGCTGCCTGGATTGCCAGAAGAGGCCAGCTTTGCACTGAAGGAAGAGAGCGTCCGGTAGCAAGAGGTGATTGGGTCTGGTTTCGAGAACAGTCACGCGGAGCTTTCAGAGGAGTTCCACATCTTGCAAAAGGTTTGCTTTCTAATGTCATAAGACATTCATGAATAATTCTCACCGCCATTTATTTTGTTTGTTTGCAAGGTGAAGGAGCCCCTGCCGTTACATCTGTTGTATGAATGGGAGGACTGCAACTGTGCTGGGGGAGGACTGAGCTATTGGGGGTGGGAGGAGTCAGACGTGGTGGGAGATGTGGGACCAACAAGCACTTACCGCATCACTCCAGCAGAGCGCAACTCCTGCCTGTTGCAACTTGCAGGGAGTTTTGTGGATACGGAAATTACTGTTTACCCAACAGAATCAAATTTTATTCTGCGACGTTGCGACAGA